CACCACGGGCTACAGGGGAATCTCTGCTCCGGCACATGGAGCACCTCCTCCCCTCCTTCTTCACTGACCTTGGTGTCTGCAGGGCTGTTTCTCTCACATATTCACTCCTCTCTTCTCCAGCTGAAGGGGTTTTTTTCCCCCTATTAAATATGTTACACAGAGGCGCTACCACCATCGCTGATGGGCTCGGCCTTGGCCAGAGGCGGGGGCATCTTTGAGCCGGGCGGGGTTGGGTCCTCTCTATCAGATGTGGGGGAAGCTTCTAGCAGCTTCTCACAGAAGCCACCCCTGTAGCCCCCCTGCTACCAAAACCTTGCCACATGAACCCTATACATCCATCCAAATTGAGTATTTTGCTTCTACATTTATCAAAAAAGAAATAGTGGAAAAATAACTAAGATTCAAGCATAAAAGCACATTTTTCTACCCAAATACGAGTATTACACTTTTCTTTTAACAAGTCATAGGCTTACCTTCTGTCACAAGCTGCTCCCCTTGAAATTCTTCATCAAATACAATGTTTCTCAATAAGCTGTTTTCCGGGACTATGTGTTTTTCTACCTCAGGTTTATACATCATAGCTCTGTTAAAGAGATAAAGAAACAAGAATGATTAAAGTACACGAAGTATTGGAAACAACAATTTGAAAAGATTTATAAGATTGGTAAGAATCCAGCATAATTTTAACTTTATCATTTCTCAAATACACCAAGCTCAAATCTGTGAGTGTTCGTTTAAAACTGAAATCTTCTCAAAAATCTTAAAGTGGTTAAAGAAATACCTGTTCTATTGCTGCACAGTAAAAGGAACCACTGAAATAATGGCTACCATACACTTGTCTTTCCAAGATACTTGTTCTCTGCTGTCAGTCACACCTACCTAGGTTTCTGATAAGTACATCAGGCATCTGAGTGATTTTTCAAAAACACCACAGGAAGCAGGAGAATGCTATTTTAGTCACGAGTGAAAGCCTTTTGAGGGGAAAAATTGACTAGTCAATGGCAGAATGGCAGCACGTGTGCACCATTTTTTTGGAATATGGAGCCAAGGAGCATGACTGCCAACAGGACAGAAAAGACTGAGAGGCATAGAGATATAAATAGTCCTGGCAAAAATGGGAAGCTACAGGTCCGTAAGAGGAAACCTGGCACTCAGATAGGGTCAGAGCCATGGAGATGGAAAGAATATCTCAGCACTACTAACTCTCAGGTCTAAGCTACTTACCAGGCTGCTGACTATTTTGGAGTAAAGAACTTGAGCCACAAGTTGGCAGACTAGGCAGATTACTCATTTCACATTCCGGCCCCTAAGTCCCAAATCATGTTCTTGTTCTAGTACACAGTTACAGAATGGGGTTTGACTGGCTTACAGTACTCAGTCATTTCAAGAAATAAGCATCTCTCTCAAATTATCAAGGGAGACTTCAGAGAAGTTCCCACCAAGAAACAACCAACCAGACCACCACATTCAAGAACCAAATGCCATGCCTGCTGACTAATAAAATCAGCAACAAATAATTTCACTCATGTATCAATGTCCAGAGTCTGAATAAAAAAGTTTCCAACGCTACCTATATAGGTGCATCAAGCTTAATGGGTTTTCTGTTGATCAGTAGGTGAAAGCTTTTCCCTAAGTATTTTTGCTCTTTGAGAAGGATTCAATGATAGTGAGCATTGCCTCAGACAAAAGAGTTCACACAAAAATCAATAACAAGCATCTTCTAAGATAAGCCAATTTTATCAAGAAGGTCACAAATGCAGCTATTCCATGAGCTTTTTATTCAAAGTCATACAGTTAAATTCAGCTATGTTTAATACTTTATTTGGATAACAATAAATACAATGACTTTCATAAAGTTTCAGCCAATAGTGAAATACTGCCGTTCTGAAATTTTGCACTGAATGATGATCACCAGGACCTTAGTGCTGTGCCTACTCTTAACATTTTGCATTATCACTATACACCATACATAGCACAAGTCAAAAGAGCCACTTATGTCATTAAAAGCAGAGTATGCCATTTTTGTGCATTTGAGTTACGCAAATTGAAATGCAGAGTAACATAGCCTCTATTTAAGCTCAGCAAGATATATTCTACAAATGTCCTTAGTGTGTTACGAGCATATGTGGACGTTATTTCTGTCACATACACATCTACTCAAACACTGTCTTCATCAACAGAATTCAGCAAACCAAGATGCAAATCTTGTTCAAAACTTAATACTACTGAATTTCAGTACTACTCCTTTCATGGGTCTTTTCTTTAAAAATTAACGCTACATACGTATTGGAAAGAGATACCAACATAGATCCGATACAAAAAAGCAAAAATTTTCCCCAAAACCCAAACACACTCAAATTCAAGGATGTAAAAAGAAAATAAAACACTTAACTAGGATTGTAGCTACAGTATGTAAATAAAACTACAAATAAACAAACCAAACCCCCACCAAGCAATCTACCAGATTTAAGATTTACTAGATGTCTCCATATCACCACTGTCTTTTGGTTTGTTCTTGCTATTTTTGGAAGCATGTTAAAACCATACTCGTGGTAGCCCATACCTCTAGTTTTAACTTTTTATTAAACATCTGTCTCTGTTACAATAGCAAAGTACATCTTACCTACGATACTGCTGCCTAGAAACTTCATCTCCACAAAAAAAACATACTGTTGATACCAGTGTGTTTGTTTTACGGAAGTTCTTTTCCATTGGATTCCATGTTATAGTAATCACCTGATAAAATAAATAGACAACATACTCAGAAAAAAAATCTTATTGTTAGTACTAACGTTTGGAATATGAGTAAACAAATTACTGCAATATAAGTGAAACAGGATTTAACACAAGTTAAGTGAGATTTTAATAAAGAACTAGTCAGACACATTCTCATTGATCACATTTATTTTAATTTAAATTAATAAAACTTGCTCAAAATCAGGTATTATACTTACTTCATGTGCTCCTTCTCTTAGTACAAACTTCTCTGGAGATACCATCATTACCTGAGGATCCATAACTGTTTTCGTCCGTAGGTTTGCAAAGCACAGTGCTTTAACATAGGCAGCCCGAGAACCTGTATTTCTTATGCGGAAGGAAGCTTTCCTTAATCTTGCAGGCAATAATCCATCCAGTGCTACCATGTAACTATCTGACAGTTTTTTAACATTTTCTAAAGTTATATTGCTTTTTCCTCCATATCCAGATAACGGTATCTGGGGGGAAAAAAAGAAAAAAAAAAATTACCAAAAAAAATAGTACTTCAAATGAAAGAAAGCTTCTTACTAAAACTTCTTACAACTATGGTAAATTATATAAAGAGTTACAGAAAGACAAATGAAAATGCTTAAAACGTCAACTGAAAAGACTTTGCAAGAAATAAAAAAGCCTAAGTTTATTCAACCTGTTTCAAGTTTTATTGAAAATTAATTTAAGGCCTACCTATAAAACAAGACAACTTCAGATTTTTTGGCAGTTCTAGAGTTAAAATCTTGGGCTACTTTTAACATAGTACATAAAAATCTTTATTCTTCCTTCACCAGTGGAAAAAGGGCATGCAAAATTGAGGCTAGTGTTCAAACTGTAAAATTTAGTGCCCACAAAATCCTTAACAAATATACAGATATGCATAGTGTATATCTTGAAAAGTTTCAACTTTTCGATAGAAACAGCTATTCAGTGCTAGATTTAAAATAATTATGAAAAACGTATGTTTAAAATTATTAGAAGTTAGTTGGGACTCTTACAGTAAACTTAATTCCTGGCTGTGATCGAATCCCCAGCTGTTTGATTTCCAGCTTTGCAAAGAAGCAAGTTACTCGAGTAGGTGCAAACATCAAGTATATGTTAGTATCCTCTTTGGGACGGATTTTGAGTTCCCAATTACTAGTTAAGCGTTCTTCTGATCCGAATATACTTTGCAGCTATAAAAATGAAGACATCAGAAATGAGTGACTACAATAGGAAAAATATATAGTAATAAGTCTCACTTCACTAGTAACCCAAAATTAATTTCTTCAAAACCTGGATTAACTCAGTTGACAATGGCACATATTTAAGGTTGCAGTGCTTAATACACAACAGAAAAGACCAAGTTCAAGATACTTGATATTCCCACAATGAGCATATCGATGCCTTTCAGTTTAGACCACATAGGTTTTTTGCCTTCAGTCCACAATACAGTAAGGCTGAACTTAACCAGCACTACATTAATTCTCTCTCAGTTTAAGATTTTTAGATATCAAATCTGAACATCTGAGGAAAAAAGGGGATATAAACGTATGTGGACTACGTAACAAAAAAACCTCTAGTTATAGTAATTCCCAAAGGCCAACTCCAGTTTTTCTTTCCTCCCTCCCTCAAGTACACAGAGTCCTTTGGAGTAAGGTCTGGAATCCCTCCTGCAGGAAGGGCCACTGACAGATCACTTCACCAAGTATTGACTCTGTTGGGCTACAGCAGCTTAAAGAACTGTAAATTGAGCTCCAACTTGCTGCAGCACTCCTATCGTTTCAGCTCCTCCTAAGGTTGCCATTGTAGCTTAAGCTCTGCTACCATGTCCATCTCGGCAGTCTCAGAGCAAATACTCACACAGCCTGCTAATCACTGACATGTATAAAGAAACAACACTTCAGGGCAAAGACATTTTTATTATAAATATCCTGATAATTATCATAAACAATGAAGAGAAATTTTCATGACAGTTACCTGAAAGCAGTCTTGATCCTGGCCTCTTATCAACAGTCTTAAATGCTGGGTCACAGATGGAGAGTCATTTCTTAGAGTTAACTTCTGCTGGCTGAAAAATGTGAAGTTTAGTTATATTTTACAGCAAATGTAAATTAACTGCACATATTTATTCATGGAAACAATGGAAATGGGACAGTCAATTTTAAAGTCATTTAATAAAAAAAAAATCACCTCTTGGAACAACAGAAATATTAGCTAGAAAGTTATTTCTGTATTCTCAAACTTACAGACCTTACAATATTACACCCCATTACGCATCAAACATGTATACCTCATTACATTCATGCAGCAAAACAACCCCAAAATATATATAGATACAGCTTTTCTGAAGTTCAAGTATTGTACTTAACAGCTTGAATTTTTAAAGCAAGCAGCAGTTGTGTCAATACAAAAATTCCTTAAGAAAACCACTTTAAGACACAGTTATAATTAGATTATCCAGAGCCACTTAGTTATGCAGAAACAGAGTCTCGTGAGTAGTCTGGCCCAGATTCACTGGAACAGTTGTAAAGAACTAAATCAAGGATAACTTTTTCTTTTCATGTACTTTTCAACATGATAGTACCACAGAAAGTTATGGCTACTTGGCAGCATCAGGTTGACCAAAAAGTCGTTTTTTTCTCTCTGGCATTGACCAGGCTTCTGGTACTCAGATCCTTCCTCAAAAGAGGAAGGAAATCTCTCAAGAAAGAAGAGCGAGTGCCTTTGTCATTTTAACAAGTCAAAAAACAATCAGAGGAGGATGTGACAAGCCCTAAAACTCATAAAAACTTAAAGGAAGAAAAAGGATTATGCAGTTAGAATCAGAGAGGATGGAAAGAGAGCAAAGCCTCTCCACGATTTTCAGTGGCAGACACTGTTTTGTACTCTGTTGGAACAAAAATTCTAAAAATAATTTCAGCTTCCTAAAACCAATGGTGCATCAAAACTGTTTTTCAGGAGGAACAGAAAATAAAAAGGTAGCAGCATAGAGGGAAGAGAAAGTAATTCCCAAACACCAAACAGCCAAACCTACTATGTTAGAAATACACCTTAACAAATAAGGTGTATTACTAACTTAATACCTTAACAAAACAGAAAATAGGAATATAGCTATCAGACACGGTTCTTGGCTACAAACATGGATCACTTAAAAAACCAGGAACATTATTAGATTCCTCAAAAAGTATCAAAACAACAGTGGATTAGTCCCTAAAGTAACACTTACCAGAAGTCCAGAGATCTGCAAAACTTGCAGGCTTTACATACGAAAGAAGCAAAGTATATCTAGACAATTATGAACACTTTCACTAAATCATGGAATACTGAAGCTGTAAACTTGAAACTAAAAAAGTTCAGACAAGAACTAGTCTGAAGGACAAAGTAATCATAATTAGGCATGCAATGGATTCTCCATCACTATAAGTTTTAACATTGGAACACATTCAAATTCAAATAAATTAATTAAGGGATGTTCAACAGCCTATGCTATTCGGATGGTCAAATTACGTTACCAGACTGGATTCTTCTAGTCTTACTGGATGAATTGAAGAAAAACAAGCATAGAGATTTATTTCTAGCAAGAGGTAGGTGTCAAAAGAACCAATAGAATTTTTCCATCAACTTACTTGGAAAATATTTTCCACTACATTTCTACTTACGTAACACACTAATCTTATAGAATCAGATATTATTCTAACGATAACTGAAGAGTCTTGAAGAATACAAAAAGCTCAAACAAGATCACAGTTTGTTTCCAAAAATTTCTTGCACAAAAAAAAAAAATTTGTAATATATTGCTTCTCTCACTTGAGTCATAAAACAGCTTAGTTTATCACCTGTGGATTATTAATGTGAATAGATAGGAAGTTTTACTTCAAATAAGTGCAACATAAAATACTTCATGTGACATTCTATATGAATGGTTGCCCAACTTATACTTACACTGATGCTCCAAGTGTTACTCCTCCCCAGGCAATGAACTGCTTGTTGGAGAGAACGGGTGGGATATCTGAGCAGCCAGCAGCTGTAGACACGGGTCTATTTTCCTCAGACTCCACCTCACCTTTTATCACCACTTCATACTGAGGCCCAGATGGCAGCACAAGGATTTTCAAAGTACTGCAAAAATAAATAAATAAATTTAAATCCCACCACAGAACAATATTAGCTGAAAACAAAACATAACTGAAAAAAAAATTATAGATAGGCCTTTTTAAACTACCTTCATAAGGGGAAAATACAAATACTTTTTTTATTTTATGACAAAGGCCAGCTTTACGCATAGCAAAATTTAAATCCTTTGGTTTGTAAATATGCATGCCACACGCACCTCAAGCAATCTTCTGAAGTATTTAGTCTGGAAATGGTTAAGGTAAGTATTGCAGAGGCTACAGCTAAGCTCTCTTCTGATTATTTTGACAGACTAATTTGGAGAGAAACAAAGTCTGGCTGATTCTACGTACATTAAGGAGATGACTTTTGAAATATCTGTGAAACTTCAATGAAGTTTTACAAGTGTGAGATACCCAGGAGCACCAAAATTAAACTCTGAGTCCTGTTAACAACGGTAGCGTTCAAAGCCATAAACCCAAGATTTTCTCCTCACTTTGTTTCCTGGGATTGCTGTGAGAAAGAACACTGGGTCCACAGACAGGGAACCAGGCCACCTACAGCTGGCTTTTCATGATATGGTCACTACCCTATAAGACACAAGCACAGTGCAGATGACTACTGCCTTCTTCAGGCAGAACAGAGAAATAGATGAATGAGAACATCAGGAGTACAGATTCAAATAATGAAGTAGAAAGAAATGGGCTAATACTGAATAGGAAAGCTGGACCTAACTAGGAAAGAAAACAGAGAAGAAACTAGACACACACACAAAAAAAAAAAACACCAAACACAAGAGGAACCAGGAAAAAGAAAATAATGTCTAATTAAGGGGGACAGAAACCAACAGAGAAATAAAACAAAAGGCTAAAGTATATAGGGAAGGAAGTGGAGATTGGAAGTATCTAACCAACGATACAGGGAACGAGAGAAAAAACAATCAGAAAAACAAAACAGAAAAAAAAAACTAGAAAAAAAGGCATAAGGCAGGAAGGAAATCAAGCTTTTAAAGAACAGGCTGAAGTATTTGATATAGCACAGACCCACTCAGAGCCAGGAATGAAACTCAAGAACCTCCACTCTAACTGCCATTGATTCCTGTGATGCCTACTGACAGAGCCCAGCATCCCATCAGTACGGAACATGAACTCTTGTTACTGCTTTATTTAGTTTATTAGTCTTTTGGCAGCATTTGCAAGTGGACTGCAGAGTCTTCAATCCTACTGAGTACCTTGAGCCTGTAAAGCAAAGGAGTTATGCATAAAGCCACATGAAAGCAAAGATTAATCACTTTCTGTGCCTATCCATTAGGATCACACTGACGTTAGCACAGAACTTCTCATTGTTTAATTTAATGCACTGGGAGGGCCCAGTTAAGCTCCATAGTGAAGCTGAACATATTTTGGACAGATTCCTTTGTCCGTTCTTGCTCTATTATAGCAGAATCGGGAAAACATGTAACAAAAGAGGAAAAGCTGCTCTGGAGAAATTAGTCTGTCCCCTGCCATTGCCAAAAAACTCTTACATGACACCAGAATGGTCACTTGAACCAATCAAGTCTATTTTGCAGAATGAAGTTCGACAGGTGCTAATGTGCAAATATATGAACACTTACATCTGCAAAGAGAACATGTACGTTAGTGTTGTACAGGATTTACAGCCGAACTTTTATTTGATTATGGCAGCCAAGATTAATGAATACTTCTGATCCTGATCTGTGCTTGAGTTTTTTCATATGTAAAATAGAAATAACATTTCCCTTGTCTCAGCAGATGAAGAAGAGAGAAGCAACTGAAGGGGCTGCTGAAGATAAGTATTTTAAATCTTTGCTGTACTTTCCGTATAAAGGGCTTCAGGGACTTACTCCAGTTATTTACACTGAACAAGTCTCAGGATATCTGTTAATCTGTGATGGGAAACATTAGCTACTCATTAAGCTATGTACAGCAAAAGAGGCAGGGAACCTATGGAACAGGTGAACCCTAGTAAAAATCTACTTTGTAACGAATGAGGACTCTCACGAAAACAACTGAAGTCAAAGTTTCCCTTGTGGGTAAAACTTTCAATTTGTTTGTGACCTTAAGGTCAAAAGTAGCTCTGTTTAAAACAGGCAGCATAAAATCAGTTATGTTACCTTTCTGTAGCCGTTATGTTTTTTGGAAAAAACAGGACAGTCACTTCTTGTTCTTCTCCAGGAAGAAGGAAAAGATCCTCAGGTTCAACAGCAAAGCAGCTGTCCCGATTTGATGTCTGAAGGTGGGCAAGGGGAAAAGGGAGGGTTGGTTACTTATTTTAAGGGAGTAAACATTTCTACAACATATAATACAATTTGGTTGTGCATCTGTTATACATACAGTTCAGACAATTCAAATGGACCTGACACCTTCAGAACTTTCCCATAACTCTGCACTAAACTCCTCTAAAGAATTGGACACTATAATACAAATACCTCTAAAAGAAGCATCTTAAGACATCAACTGTGTATACAACGCTGAAGGGGCCACAAAGAGATTTAAAGAATTTAAAAGTAAGTAAAACATGGCAATGGCACACCGCTAGTGAAGTAACATCACTAGTCTCAACAGTGGTACCAACCATTACTGGTATCAATCAGTATCCAGTATCATCATGCTAATGTGGCATTTGTGATACTAGTCATGCATCCTATTTCCATGGCCTGTGCTCCAAGAAGCGATGGGCTCACAACAATCAATTTTTTTTTTATTTTTTTTTTTTTAATTAATGTAGAAGGGGACCAACTGCTCCTTCTGTTGTCTTTGAAATGCTAGTTTCAAATGCATGTAGTTACCTTTCAGTCCGGGACCATACTTTCCATGGATTCTCAAGAAAATTAAAGTCAAGTAAAGAAATCACATATCTGAAAAGAACTCGCTTCATACTTGAGTTGGCAAGATGCCCACCGAAAACTAACACAGCTTTGTTAGAAAATAAAGATGTTTCCCAATGCTAATATTCCTAGTTGCTCTAAAAGGGCTTGACTCTACTAGCTAATTAACACCTGCTATGCAGCACAGGATTCACTACTTTTACATATTTGTTAAACACTTGTTAAAATCTATTCGTTAAAAATCATAAAAGTATGTTTGTTAAAACAAATATAACCGAAGCTGAGCAACAAAACTCCCATATGCTTTTTCCAGTAATGTGAGCTAATCTCTTTGCTATCTTTCATTCTCTTTATAGAATCACAGAATCATCAGATGGTTTGGGTTGGAAGG